AGCAAGGAAGGGGAAGAAGGGAAGGAGGGAGAGGAAGAGGGAAGAAGACAGGGAGGGAGGGAGGGGAAGAGAGAGGGAGGGAGAGAGGAAGGGCTTATCTATTTCTAATTCATTACTTACTCCCTTTGTAATTCAATGTATCATCAGTCTAATAGAAAATGAAGTGCAGTTATCCTTATGTTTTACATGAATAGCATGTTGAACATGGATGATAGTCAGCAACCTTTCCATCAAATGTATTGAAGAGAGAACATTCCAACACTGGCAGAGAATTCTGGAAGTTATCCGTTTTGGAGCATCCCTGATGGGCACCATGCCCAGGGAGGCCACAGGGCAACTTCCGCCCATCCCCTGCAGAAACACAAACTTATGGGCTGTTTCATTTCCAAATGACACCTTCACCTTACAGATGTCACTGAAATGGGGCTCCCATACATACTTCCTCAGCTGGAGGTTCCTTTTAATTCCTAAAACTGTACTGTTGTGGCTTCAATCTTCCTATAAAGCCTTAGTAAGACCATACCTGGAATACTGCATCCAGTTTTCATCACCACACTATAAAAAAGATGTTGAGACTCTAGAAAAAGTACAGAGAAGAGCAACTAATATGATTAGGGGACTGGAGACTAAAACATATGAAAAACAGTTGCAGGAACTGGGTGTGCTGTCCAGCCAGTTATAGTTGATAGGGAATTGATATAGTTAGTTAGGAATTGGGAGCTGTCCCCTTAAGGGAATGCATCATGGTAAATGTAGTTAAGGTATCCTGGGAAATGTAGCCCATGTCATGTGGCCACATCTGTAATCCTGACTGGTCACTGAATTGACCCCTTGGTGGGTTGGGGGAAGTTCCTTCACTCTTGCCTGAACCCAGCCTCATGCTGGCATCTCTACCCCTGCTCCTGCGATATGGGATGGAAGGAATGAAAGATTACCATCCTTTTACACCAGAAAGTCAGCTATGCAAAGAGTTGGACATTGAGAGGAATCTCGATGTAACTGTAACTTATATTGAGGATACCTGATGAACCAATAAAAAGACTTCGTATGGATGCTTTGTGGAGGTATCTATCTGCCTTTATACATTCAGTCAGTAATTATAGAGGACAGAATAGTAAAAGGGTGGTAATCTTTCATCCCTTTCATCCCATATCGCAGGAGCAGGGGTAGAGATGCCAGCACGAGGCTGGGTTCAGTGGACAGAATACTGGGCCTGGCTAGTCTAGGGAAGAGAAGGGCCAGGCGAGACATGATAGCAGTCTTCCAATATCTGAGGGGCTGCCACAGACAGGAGAGGGTCAAACTATTTTCCAAGGCACCCAAAGGCCAGACAAGGAATAATGGATGGAAACTGAACAAGGAGAGATTCAACCTGGAAATAAGAAGAAATTTTCTGACAGTGAAAACAATCAACCGACAGAACAGAAGTTGCCCTCAGAAGTTGTGGGAGCGCCATCACTTGAGACCTTCAAGAAGAGATTGGACTTCCATCTGTCAGAAATGGTGTAGGGTCTCCTGCTTGGGAGCGGGGTTGGACTAGATGACCTACAAGGTCCTTTCCAACTCTGTTAATATGAATCTGAATCTACTTTAAGATGGTATCCCATGTCTAGAGTATCAAAGGACAAAGTACTCTTCTATATGGAAATCTCAGCACCCAATTCGTCTGTAATGAGTGCCCCTTGTTATCAAAGCCAACCAATTTCTCCTGTCAAGCAAAGATGGAATCATATGTTTGATATTAGTGTATCTCCATAAAATCCAGATGGGTTAATTTCAAGTTATAATTAAACACCTTGATAGGCACACATTAGATTCCAAAGTGCTGACTTTTAAAGCAAGATGGAGATAATACAGTGCAGCAGCCTAAATGAGGGCAACATGAAAAGAACTTCTAGGGTTCAGAAGACACTTCAAATGCAATCTAGGGAAGTAAATCCTATGAGGTACTTAATGTAGTAGTTAGTGCTACTACATCTGCATGGAAGGAAGGAAGCAATGGGGTACCACAAACTTCCCTCTTAGGCCCAGTACTCTTCAATATAAATAACTTCAGCACCCCAGAAGACAAGCTCAGGATCCAAAAAGATCTTGACAGGTTTGAACAATGGGCCCGATCCTACAACATGAAATGTAATGTGGAGCAAAGCAAAGTTTTATACCTACGCAGGAAAAACCAAAGGTACAAGTACAGATTAGGTGAAACCTGGCTCGAAAACATTAATTGTGGGAGGAGTTTTGGAATCCCAGAGGATGATCCTTTAAACATGAGCCAGCCGTGTGCAGCAGCAGCCGCCAAAAAACGCTAATACAATCCTTGGTTGTATAAACAGAGGCATAGAATCAAAACCGTGTGAAGTATTAGTGTGGCTTTATAAAGCCTTAGTAAGGCCACACCTGGAATACTGCATCCAGTTTGGGCATTACAAAAAAAATGTTGAGACTTTGTTAAAAGTGCAGAGAAGAGCAACTAAAAATAATTAAAGGCCTGAAGAATAAAACATATAAAGAATGGTTGCAGGATTTGGGTTTGTCTAGTCTAGAGAAAAGAAGAACTGGAGTTGACATGGTAGCAGTGTTCCGGTAGTGGAAGGGCTGCCAGAAAGAAGAGGGAGTCAATTTATTTTCCCAAACACCTGAAGGAAAGACAAGGAACGATGGATGGAAACTAACCGAGGAGAAAAGCAATCTGGAATTAAGGAGAAACTTCTTAAAAGGGAGGACAATTAATCAATTGCCTTCAGAAGTTGTAGGTGCTTCCTCACTGGAGGTTTTTAAAAAGAGACTGGACAATGGACAATCACTTATCTGAAATGGCTCTAAGGTTCCTTCCAGCTCTATTCTGATTGATTGAGGTTCAATGGGGCTTAGTTTAGATGCATGGGACTTTAGCTTTAATATATCTGAATATCATTGTTCTTTCTTATCACTTATTTTACCCAACTAAGATCTATCTATCTATCTATCTATCTATCTATCTATCTATCTATCTATCTATCTATCTATGGTATCTTTATTTCTTTCTTTCTCCATCCATCCATCCATCCATTAATCTTTTTAGTTTGTGTTCATTAACCACAGAATTATTGTTGTTATTAGTTGTTGTAGTAGTAGCAACACTGATAATAATGCCCAAGGGACATGAAATATGTTGTTTTGACTGCTTAAATGAACCTCAAGCCCTCTTAGTGAGCTGGATTACAATTCCCATAATCCCCAGCCAGCCTTGGCAGATGAACATCTAGCTTATCCTGAACTCTTGGACAGGCGCTCTCAAGACACCGACACAAGCATAGGTAAAAACAAAACATGTGCGGATGAAATATTGTTACAACCTGGTTGCAAATGTTGATGTCCACTCCATTCTTTAAGTAGTCAAGAGCTTTTTCTAAGTTGCCTGCTCGGGCTGCTCGAAGGTAGCTTGCATTGGTGTCAGACTGTAAGAGAAAGAAAAAGAAGAGAAAATAAACAGTTTGAAAACCAAGCGTGAGCTGCAATCTGAATTTCATGATGCGGAAACGTTTATATAACTGGCCCTCACCCCCAGATCCTATACCTACATTTGGGGTCAATGTTGAGTGTTAGCATAACATTCATAACTACCGGTAGATATAACGAGGTCCCTCTTTGTTAAATATTTTATTACTCCCTGTTATGTATAAACTGCGCTACGATACTTGCAATACAAAATATTAACATCCGTGTAGATAACATCTAGGTACCCCTTCAGGGAAACAGGAAAGAAATTCTGTAGCTTGTCTGAATAAAAAAGTTTAGGTAGTACCTTGTGTGGCGTTGGAGCCTGAAACAGGTGCCACGGTAGCCATTATTCTTCAGACAGAATAAAATAATGCACCTGTTCCTGGTCATACAACAATTACAGCTTGACAAGTCCAGAAAGCAAATTCTCCTGACCAGTGGTGGGCGTGGCTTGGTGGGTGCACTTTGCATGCGCGCATGCACCAAGCGCACACTTTGTGCAGGTGCTGAGGCGTTCCAACTTGCTTCCTGCAAGCCTGCACTCTCCCGGTCACTTCAGCAGCTGCTGTGCAGCACTCTTCTGTGCCGCACAAAGCAGCTGCACTTCAAAAGCAGAAGATAAAGGTGAGTTTGCGCAGGCGGGCCCAACAGCAGAGCAGTGGAGAGAATTGGTTCCATCTCCACTGCTCATCACTGCTACCGGCTTGGCAGAACCGGGCCGAACCAGTAGGATACCACCACTGCTCTTGACAAAACCACCAGTCTTTTTCCTAAGTTTCATCATTTGTTTTAAGCAGAGCTCTCCAAACTGGGCAACTTTAAGACTTGTGGACTTCAACTCCCAGAATTCTCCAGCCAGCTCTGCTATGGGAGTTGAAGTCCACAAGTCTTAAAGTTGCCCAGTTTGGAGACCCCTGGTTTTAAGCTTTCTGTGTCTCAAGACAGCCAACATCTGCCATCAGTTTTCCTAAATATTGCAGAAGATGGTTTGTTGGCTTGGTTCATTCATTTTTAGGCAAATACAAGTAGTCCTCAACTTACGAGCACAGTTGAGACCCAACAGTTTCTGTTGCTAAGCAAGATATTTGTTAAGTGAGTTTTGCTCCATTTCATGACCTTTCTTCCAACAGTTGTTAAGTGAATCACTGCACTTGTTAAATGGGTAACATGGTTGTTAAGTGACTCTGACTTCCCCATTGATTTTGCTTGTCAGGAGGTAGCAAAAGATGACCTCGGAGACACTGCAATCATCATAAATATGAGCGAGTTGCCAAGCACCTATGTTTTGATCCCGTGACCCTGGGAAAATGCTATACTGGTTGTAAGTGTGGAAAACAGCCATAAGTCACTTTTTTTCAGTGATGTTGTAATTTTGAACCATCGCTGAATGAACTGTTGTAAGACAAGGACTACCTGTGATCACCCAGGAAGCAGCACGCACGTAATAAATTCCCAAACGTAAATTAATTTCCTTTAATGCCTCCAACTTGGCCCCACTATTCAATTGTTCGCAGTTGAAGATTAAACTCTTTCCAAAATAGTCTCCAAAAGAAAGAAATACAGTCCAAACTCAAGGAACAGATAACGGAGAAATAAAAAAAGCAAAACAAACTGCACTGAAGGAATTTTCACAACAAACCAGGATAATTCATTACAAAGTTCAAGAAGATAACAAGGTACAGTCCATTGGAAGAATGCCAACCAAGATAAACCTCAGCCAGAAATAAAACACGCTTTGCTTCTAGCTATGCTGTGTTTTAAACGCCCCTCCTATATACTATTCTCCCCCAGCTGCATCCAATGAGGGAGATCATGGCCGCTTCCTCTCCTGTATGCCATGTTGTTCCCTTCTCCGTTCCTCCCTTCGTGCCCTAGGATGGAGAGGGGATGGGCCTGGGTCTTCCTCTGACTGCCCAGCCGGCCTCTGCCCTTCCCCAGCCTCCTCCACAACCTCCGGAGCCACATTTCCACTCCCTATTGGCTGTTCCTCCTCTCCCTCGGAGTCAGTCTCCAACAGGGGCATGACACTACCTGTACAATTTTGACCACAGCTTCATCCATGCCAGCTAAATACATCAGGAGAGAAATATTTGAAAACCATGATGTGGGGAATCTTATCCAAACTAAAGGACTTTGCTATGGAAGATCACATGATCAGCCAATCTCTGGAGCCCCAATAAATATTTTTGACCCTCATCATAGCACATAAACTGATACTGACTGATATAGACATGGGTGCAACAAATGGTAGGAGAGTATATTCCATTTAAGCCAGAATTTTTTCTCCTAGGAATAATACCGGAAGGATATAGGAAGGATTTATTTTATCTAATAATACATGTGTTGACGGCGGCTAGAATAATATATGCTCAATACTGGAAGAAGGAAAGAATACTGCCAGAATTAGAGATAATAAGGAAAATTATGGTCTGTGCAGAATTAGACAGGTTAATTCTAGAATTAAAAAATAAAGGGGAATCTGAATACTATGAAACGTGGAATAAATTTCATTAGTCTTTGCATAAAAGAAGGCAAGGTTGAAACAGAAGTACCTAGGAGGTTTAGAACAACTAGTAAACAATGTATCGAACAAGAGATTGTAAATGGTGAAGTAAAATTTATATATGCATAACAATATATATGTATAACAATGCTAGAACGGTGGCAACGTGTTGCATTCTTATAATTAAAATAAAAATAAATACATATTTTTTAAAATCTTACCCTTTTCTTTTCATTAATGAAACAAAATACTATTCCGTGTATGACAGCGATAATTTCTGTGTTAATTTCAACCTTCAGCATGACTGCCATTGTACTGGATGTACAAAAGAGAGCTTGGTTAATCTTTGGCTCTCTGGTCCATTTTGACATTATTGTGCAGGGAAATCTCTAGCACAATCTCATTGTTCTCGACAAGGGAAACATTCTGGCCCCTGACCTAGCATGGTGCTCATTTTGATTTCCCTGTGGAACAGGAGCAATAACTTTATTTTGGAGGAACGAACTTGCTCCTAGACCGTCAATACTCAGTGCGAAGACATCTTTGCATCCATAGGATTCCTGCTTCTCGCAAAAAAGGAGGAAACTCCTCAGAGGTGGCATTCAGCAGGTTCTGGCCAGTTCTGGAGAACCGGTAGTGGGAATTTTGAGTAGTCCGGAGAACCAGCAAATCCCACCTCTGACTGGCCCTGCCTCCATCTACTCTCTGCCTCCCTTTGAGTCCCAGCTGATCGGCTGGGTCTCCTTTGGTTGCCCTGCACAGGAGAACGGAGCTGGAAAGCAGGTTAGTGGGGTGGGGAGGGAATGGGGATTTTGCAGTATCCTTCCCCTGCCACGCACACCAAGCCAAGCCACGCCAAAAGAACCAGTAGTAAAAAAATTTGAATCCCACCACTGAAACTCCTACTACAGAATAAAACGGGTGTTTCTACCCACAAAAGGAGAAAGTCAGTCACCTGCAGAATTTCTCCATCGTTGAACATTCTCATGTTCAAAAAGTACAATAAAGCTATTTGAAGAAAACCAATAGATACACGCACACATTAAATTTAGAATCTTTGTTTGTTTGTTTAATTCAGAATGCCTGATTTCAGCGTGACTTCTGAGTGACTTATATTAAAAATATGAAACAGTAAAGAGGAACTAACTGAAGGAAAACCCTTTGCATCTTAACCCAGCCCCTTGAACAAAAAACAGGGCAAACAATATGCAGGTTTTTAGATTCATCTGGAGTGTCACCCAGGTGAGGGTGGCACAGTGGTGGGATTCAAGAAATTTTTACTGCTAGTTCTGTGGGCGTGGCTTAGTGGGCACTGCAGGAGAAGGATATACTGCAAAATCTCCATTCCCTCCCCACCCCACTAACCTGCTTTCCAGCTCCATTCTCCTATGCAGGGCAACAAAAGAAGACCCAGCCGATCAGCTGGGACTCAGGAGGCAGAGAATAGTTGGGGGCGGGGCCAGTCAGAGGTGGTATTTGTCGGTTCTCCAAACTACTCAAAATTTCCACTACCGGTTCTCCAGAACTGGCCAGAACCAGAGGTGGTATTCAGCAGGTTCTGACCAGTTCTGGACAACTGGTAGTGGAAATCTTGAGTAGTTCGGAGAACCGGCAAATCCCATCTCTGACTGGAGATTTTTCAGTATCCTTTCCCTGCCACGCCCACCAAGCCACGCCCACAGAACCAGTAGTAAAAAAAATTGAACCCCGCCACTGGTCAGAACCAGCTGAATCCCACCTCTGGGGTGGCACAGATCTCGGGGGAGAGATCTTGTTTGTGGGGGAGGCGAAATCTAAACAGAGAAATCTAAAACAATGGTATGGTCTGATTGAACAATCTTGCCAGACAGATTGGAAGCAATGCAGTGGGGTCACAAGGCCTGCCAACACTGTCCATGCCACCTCATTCTGGACCAGCCATCGCTTCCAGGAGGCCTTCCAGGGGCAGCTTAGGGTGCACACTGTGAGTTGACTCAACAAAGCTGTTTCTAGTCACAGTGACACTGAAACAACAAAACCTACTGTTGTGATGGAAGCACTGCCCCATTGGGCTTGTGTGTCGCAACATCTCAGCATCAGCATCAACAGACAAAGAAGTGATAAGGGTTGCATCTTATCACCTGCCCCCCACCTGAAAACTCCTAGGGACCAAGTCTTCTCAACCCAACAGTGACTCTGCTAGGTTGGGGCAAGTTGTCAGCTTTTTAAGTATGTCAACGTGGACTTCAGTAGGACACTAAGTCAATACGAACAACTCATTCATCAAGCCGTTGCATGGATGTAATAGTGCCCATGGGTGCTATTTTCCAGGTGATGCCAGATTATGTGCTTTTCCATACTATATAAAGGCTGTACAGTCTGAATTTGCTCCATCTGCAAGAAGTAGGGCTTATAGAGTTACCTGAATGGCTTAAGCCAGGGGTCTCCAACCTTGGCAACTTTAAGACTTGTGGA